TCTTCTGCCTCGCCAGCTCCTCCGCGCTCAGGGCCGCTGGCACCTGTGGTGGGGAGGGCGCCTGCAGCTCCGGGTGTTCCCGGCCACGCTGGTTCTTGCTCCCCTCCTGGTGCACGACGCAGGGTGAGAGCCCAGGCAGGGCCCAGACTGCACTAAAACGCGACATCCAGCCTCGGCTGGGCCTGGCCACCCCTTCGGCCAGAGCCGTTGGCTCACGCCCAGCCTGGCTCTGCCCTACCGCCCGCAGGCGGGCCCCCAAAAGCTGCCAGCCTCCCATATATGTAAGCAATACTCACAAGGCCCTCAGATACACGTGAGAAGGGCTCGCTGCACCCTGCGATAAGCTTGCAAACATCCCCGGGGTTTGAGCCAGTCTGACGTCAAAATGGGATCGTTTTCAGTGATGTATTTTTTTTTTGTAAGTGCAAGGGGCTCAGTTCAGTTACTAAAGACAGACTGTGCTGCAGTGGGCACCGCTCCCCTGTGCTCCCGGCACACAGCAGTGCTGCCTGCATGCCCCGAGCTCACAGCTGGGCCTGAGTGGGGAAAGCGCTAGTGCCCCTGAGCAACCGTTCAGCTAAAAACTCAGGAGCTGTAATAACATCTCTGAGTGAAGGAGCAGAGACGAGACAGCAGGGAAACCACTGCGAGCGTGCCGGAAAGTCAGCACCTGCGTGTAAATGCCCCTGGCTTAGGACAGGCTGGATCTGGGAGGAGCTGCTGCCTTTTTTGCTCTGCTGGTGAGCAAATTGGAGCAGAGACAGCCCTGGAGAACTGGGGAGCTGCTCTTGGGCATCCTTGATCCGGTGGGTGGGCTGTGGCGCGGGTGCCCGGGGTGGGATCGGCAGACAGCCGGGCAGCAGCACCTGCTCCCCAAACACCTCTCGCCCCAGGCGAAGGGAGCACGGCGGGGGGAACGTTCAGCAGGGAGCACGGCGGGGGGATCGTTTACTCTGCAGGAAAATCTCGTTCATTTGACATTTCGGTTGCAAAGGCCACCAGCTGTGCTGCCGTGTGGGCAGGGAGCGGGTTACGCAACCCGCAGGGAGCAGCAGGCTGCCCCGAAAGCCCGGGGACAGCTGGCCTCACCTGGCGTGGGCGTCGAAACGCTTACTGGGGGGGGAGCAGCCATCCCCAGCGCAGCGATCTGGCTGGGATTTAAACCCCAGCAACTAGCAGGGACACGGCCCATCGCTAAGCGAAGCACAGGGAGGCTTTGGTGAAGGACTGGAAGAAGCCAGGCAGGAGCTCAGCTAGACCGACCGACCCCTCTCTAGCTGGGCAGGTCGATTACCTGACGTTGGCCCAGCTGTCCTCACTTGCTTTCTGCAGTACCGGGTGAGGAGTCGCTGAGGATTTGTACTGGTTAAGGGTTTTCTTAGCCACACAGCTGCCCATCGGCCTGGGGAGCCGCGTGACCGGCTCTTTGGTCCCCAGCCGTCCAGTTCCCGCAGGACAAAAACACTCGAGAAACTTAAAACCCGGACTACAGCACTCCGGCTTCCAGCCCTGCATCCGGGCACGATGGGGCAGCGAGACCCCTG